CCATTGCGTGACTACCCAGAATGTACCATGTAAACTAATGTAATAACCCCCCTTTAAATATTCATCCATTCTGCACATTCCATTCCTCTAGAGAACCCTGGCTAATGCAATACTTATGGTGAAGTTATTGAAATGTCACTAAAATGAGAAACAAAACAAAAGATGCCAAGTCTCACCTCTTCCTTTAGATATAGGACTAGACATCCAGCTGCTGTAGGAAGCAAGAGGAATGAGAGCTACAAAGATGAGGAGGGGGGTTGACAGGCATGGTGGCACACACCTTTAATCCCAGCCATTTGGGAGGCAGAAGAGGGTGTACCCCATAGTAAATTCTGAGCCTGCCAGAGCTACATAGTGAGAATCTTGTCTCAAAAACCAAAACAACAAGAAAGAAAGAAAGAAAGAAAGAAAGAAAGAAAGAAAGAAAGAAAGAAAGAGAGGAGGGAGGTAGAAGCAGCTTGCAGATGCAGTTTCTGTTTGTGATGAAGAGAGAAAGTGTTAGGCAACTATTAAAATGGGCAGGAGGATTTGGTGGGTTTCAGAGTTCAAGCTGTATTAGGCAGAAACTGGTCAGGAAAACGAGGCCACACAGAAATCTGAAAAGGGAAAGTTGAGGACATGCAGCTGGCAAAGTAAATTCAATCTCTGAGTGAGATCCTAAGGCTATGTGAGAGTCTCCAAGGCTAGAGCAATATGGAAGAAGAATCCCCTCCACCAAACCGGGGCTCTGATCCCACGGGAGAAGGCATGGCTGCAGACCCTAAAGGTAATGCTGGTTGGAAATGTCCCTAGTCATAATCAGTTACAGACAGCCAAGACAGAGGAGGAAGAGAGGCTGGGCAGGCAGAATTTGGGTTACATATGATATTTTTATATTTTTTTTATTTTTGAGACAGGGTGTCATTATATAGCCCTGGCTGGCCTGGAACACACTATGTAGACCAGGCTGGCCTAAAACTGACAGTTCCACCCGCTTGTACCTCCTGAATACTGGGATTAAAGTGCTCAGAAATATTTTAAAAATACACATGATGGCCGAGGATATAGCTCAATTGGTAGAGTGCTTGACTTGCATGTACAAAACCACGCGTTCCATCCCAGCACCATATAAACCAGGTGTGGCAGCAAACACCTGCAATGCCAGTCAGTACTCAGGAGGACCAGAAGAATAGGTTAGAGGTCAGTCTGGGCTACAGGAGACCCTGACTCAGAAAAAAGGGGGGCAGAAACCATAGGTGCAAGTTTAGATGATTTCAGGACTGTTCCATTTGTCTCTGCCCTGTTACCACAAAACACCCCAGGCTGAACAGTCTATTCAGTGGGATGGTATCATTCATGTTAAAGGTGGGTCCTTCTTCTTTAGTTAATTAAGTCCAGAAATTCCTTCACAGGCACCTTTTTTTAGATGATTCTATAGCGTCTCAAGTTGACAGTAAAGATTAATATTATAGGCACATGGGGCCAATTCCCCTGTATCTATCCCCTTTTAAGAACACCTGATCATGCCCACAAAGATATAGGCCTCCTGTCCTACTCCCCTCTCAGAGGCAGCCTTTTACTGCTGTTGTACCAATATCACCTGGAGGGGACAGGTGCAGATGACATGGGACTTGTGTCCATCAAAAGCCCCAGGTGCTGTGCATGCCCATGCTGCCATCTTTGCAGATGCCCAGTCTAGCTGAGGTCACACGATTGCTCTAATGACCTTGTCAAAGGGAGATTTGGATGCCACATGGTGATGGAGGCAGAGCTGGAAGAGGCTTCTGTAAGCCAAGGAAGAGGCCAGAATGGCCACAAGCTACCAGACACCAGAGAGGCCCGGAGCACACTCCTCCACAACAGCAAGGCCTTGCTGGTGTCTTCACTTTCTACGGCAGCCTAGGATAGCCTCAACCGGTGGCCTCAATGTCAGTGCTTTCTGGAAAGAGATGAGTCCCTGTCACCATAGTTACCCTGGTACCTATCCAGTGGTCTATCTGGGTAGACTTGCAGATGGAGCACTGGTCTCTCCCCTCTGAAGTCAGGCCACAGGCAGCACTGGTGAAGTGGTGCCCTGGGGTGACACTATCCTATCTGTAAGCTGTCCCAACACAGGATCATCTGGGTGGTATGAGAAGCTGCTGGAAGCTGAGGGTTTTCTCTCTGGTGGCAGAGCTGTGATGTGGGGCTCTCATGACAAAGTGGAGAAGTTGGCAGAGGGATGCTTGGAAAGTACCGGGGTTTAGTAGGAGCTGCCCTGTATCTTGTGGATGGGCAGAGGTGGACAACACGGGTTGTGAAGACAAGGGTCAGATGGAGCTGGTCTCCTCCACTGCTCAGCCTGCTTAGCACTGCCTCCTAGCCAGAAGGCAGGCAACCTGAGCCAGCGGCTTTGTTCTCAGGCCCCTTTGTCTTGCAGTCATTTGTGCACACTGTGCTGGGGAATCTTGACTGTCAACTTGATCTGGCTGAGAAGTGCCTTAGAGCTTAGTGAAGCTCACCCTGGGTGTGTCTGTGAAGGTGTCTGCAGAGCCGTTTAACTGTGAAAGTCAGTAATGCCATATTTGCAGGCTGGGGGGAAGGCAAAGGGCAGGGGGTAGGGCTGGAGAGATGGCTCACAAGCTAATACTTACTGCTCTTGCAGAGGACCTGGGTTCAGTTCCCAGCACCTACAAGGTGGCTCACAACTGCCTGTGAATCCATTTCCAGGGGATCTGTTAGTCTTCTGACCTCTAAGAGTTCCTAAATGCATGTAGTGCACATACATACACTCAAACACACACACACACACACACACACACACACACACTAAACTTAAAATAAATAAATAAATGACTACATGAATAAATATCAACCAAACAATTTTAACAAGGAGGGAGGAACCAGAACCAGAGAGATAGTATAAGTCTCTCTCTGCACGAACCCTTTCTCCCTGTATCTCTTCTTCCAGGAGACTCTAGTGTGAACTGCTCTGCCCAGCCAGGCCTCCCACCACCTACCATGATGGACTGAAACCTTAGAATCTGAACCATGTTTCATTCCAGCATTTTGCCTAACACTCCGACAAACTTTCATCTTTGGGTAGAGAAAGTCTAAAGAACCAACAGGAACAGGCAGAGGTGAACAGGCCATCAGAAGCTGCTGCCAGGCAGCAGCAGGGAGAGCTGCTATGAGAGGAGGACAATGGCCAAGGTCAAAGTCTGAAGCGACCTGGGGCGGCAGTGAGTGACAGAGTGTGGAGCAGAGGCCCTGTGTGTGGGAGCACACTTTGTGAACTGAGGTAGAGCAGGAGGTGGAGATGGTGGGGAGCAGCAGTGAAGTGCGATGTCCTGTATGCTGCGAGTATGTGTTGCTTTTATTGGTTGATAAATAAAGCTTTTATTGGTTGATTTGGCCTATGGCCAAGGAGAATACAGGCAGGTGGGATATCCAAACAGATAAAGAAAGAAGGCAGATTCGGGGAGAACCCCACATTGTTGCTGGGGAAACAAGATGTGAGGTAACAAGCCACAAGCTTGTGGTAAAATATAAAATAATAGGAATGAGCTAATTGTGAGAGCTAGTTCGTAATATGCCTGAGCATTGGCCAATCAACTATAATTAACGTCAAGCCTTAGAGTTGTTATTTGGGAACTGGTGGGTTGAGAAACCTCCAACTACACAGCAGAAAGAGACCCAAAGAGAGCAGAGACAGAGAGCCCTGTATGCCACACGGAAGGTTGGTGAACTTTAAAGGGCTTGGACTTTAACTGAGCACACAGGGCACAGACTTGTTAGCAGTCATCCCACTACACCTGTTATTAGCTGAAAAGCAGCTGCAACTGAGTGGGGAGGAGCAGATAGATGTCACAGCAGTGGTCTAAGTCTAGGTGGCAGGACAGGGGACTGAGGGCCAAGTGACAGAGATCTTGGAGCAGCAGGGAGATAGGTTCCATCCCACTTTTCTCAACAACACAGCTGACTGATTTACAGAGATGGGTGGAGGTCTTGGGATTGGGGGTGACTCTTGGGGTACTGCTGGGGAAGGAGCCTATGCTGAATCTGAGATACCCTCTAGAGATGTCAGTCTGGGGTGGCTACATGTAGACACAGGAATTGAGGGGAGAGCTGTCCAAGGAGCTCTGGAGAAAGCAGAGGCACATGGGAGGGAATGGAGGGAATGGACAGTCATTCTAGAGAGGAAATGTGAGGTGTTTCGATGGCAAGTGTCATTAGTATGTCACATGGGCTTCGTGAGCAGGGCATCTGCTGGGTCTGTCCAAAAGTCACTATTGACTATGTAGATTGCTCTAGGGGATCGATGGGATGTGGGGTGGTCTAAAGAACAGAAGAGATCTGGGGACTGCAAAGGAGAGTGTGCTCAGGAGGAGGAAGGGTCAGGTGTGTGTAGACAGGGCAGGCAAAGCTGAATTCTGGGTCCCCTCAAACTATGTGTTCCCCACCTCCAGCAATTGGCACTAGGCTCTGGCTACAGTCACATGCTTAGAGGGCTGTCCAGTCTTGCAATGCATGCATGTGTGGGGGGCATGCATGCATGCATACATGCATGTATGTTTCTATCCCCAGCACCACAGGCAGCATTCAACAGGTCCTTGTCTTGTCATAACTACAGGTACACGGGGTGAGCCCTGATCTCTAGGCTGATTCAGGCCGCATTCAAGGGTCTGGAGCTGATGCTGGTGGTCTGCCTTTCCACAAGCCTGCTCTCTGGGAAAACTCTGAGGCAGCAGTGGGCTCATGTGTCCAGGAGGCAGAATGAGTGGGGTGACAAGGACAAGAGGAGAAGCCCGAGTGAACGTGGCAGTAGGCGCTCTGCACAGCCACCAAGCCAAGGCAGATCTGGTGCTTTTCATACCGGATGAATCTGCTACCTCCGGGACTGGTGTGAACACCAAAAGCTCTTTATTTGTTTTGGGGTGGGTGGGGACACACGTAACCCCAACTTTTAGCCAGTTTGAAACCCACTCAGTTACCCCAGGGCTCCCCAGAGTCTCACACTGAAAGCAAGGACACAGGACCACCAGGCTTTGAAATTGGGTTTAATGCATCATACAGAAGGAAAAACTACACTGGTATATTTAAGACAAACACTTTCTCTAGCCACTATCCACTGGACGGTCCTCCTTGGTCCCCCCCAAAAAAACCTAAGTCTCAAGACACATCAGCAGCTCCCCCTCCCGGGTCCAACCTTCCACATCCTCCCACATTTCTTACAAAATCGAACTCAATCCATCCAAGAAGAAAATTCAACCAACAAAAGAACCTGAAGACAGTTACGTCACCAGCCGTGCGGTAATGCATAATCGGCACCTCGTAACCAATATATAAAGACGTGCGCCTCGCATAGCTCACGTCATTCATCGATAAAAGAATATAAAAATCTTGTTCAACCCAGTGTAATGTGTATTAAAATAGATTTGTATCCTACAGCACAGTTTCTCCCGGAGTCGTGAAAAATGACAAGAGGGACAGTAGCTGGTGGTGGGATCCCAGCCAGCCTTCCCATTCTGCACTTGTGTCTGTGGGCACAGGTGTGCGGCTGTGGCCCTGGCGCATGCGCGAGTGCTCACTGCAATTGGGCACCATGTGATATGCTCAGGGGAGCCCTGTGGCTCCTGATCGCATATGGGTTGTGCTGTGTCCCTCAGGACAGGGTGGGGCTTGCAAAGTGGGCTGCATGGCTCGCAGAGGTGCAGGAACCCCCAGGGTACCTAGGGACCTGCACTTCCTGCAAATGAGGAGACAGCATTGAGAAGGAGGGCTCTGGAGTCTCCAAAGGCCAGGCCCCCAAATGCACCACCCTCTTTGCCTCCTGGCTGGATCTCTAAATCCCTCTGGATGCTCCATCTGGCCCCTCTCAGGGGAGGTTACCATTCTGGAGCAGAGACTACCAGATGCAGAGGAAGGCAGGCAGAGGTGCAGTTCACATTACGGATCGTACAACAAAACAAACGCTATACAAAAAGTGTGAAGCTCTTTTTGGCATAGTGTCTTTAACTGGCAAGAAGTGGGCAGGATTCTTGGTGGCTCCTGCAAAGGAGAGTGCTCTAAAGGCTTCCATCATGAGGTGAAACCTGCCAGGGGCCTCCCATGGTGGCTGACTGCTCTGTCTAGCCCAGCACTCCATGAGGAAAATTCCAGAGACTGGCAATAGGAAGAGGTGGGCTGCAGCAAGAGCATGAGTTAGGGAAGAATGAGGCAGAGGCCAGGCTGGGCAGCCCATGCAGCAGTGACCTCAGGAGAAGCTGGCTTGTCACTTATCCAGTTAAATGACTGAGTTTCAACATAGTAATACTGATGGATTAGGGGGCAGCAGGGCACAAGGAGTCCCAGGGCCACTGGAGAACTACCTAGGTTAGCTACCCACTCTCGTACCAGAGGCTCACCCTGCCACCCCCACTAACCAGCTATCAGTTGTTGCTTGCCTCCTTGCACGCTGTACGTGGCCTAGACTGCCTCACTCTCCACAGCCTGAAGTCTTCCTCTCCTGAGGGGACAACACAATGAGAGAGCTAGGCATGAAAGCCACAAACTAGGGAGGCCTGGCAGCCCAGGGTGACGGCTGCCTGTGCCTTGATCTGAGACACCCTCACCTGGCCCTCAGGTGGTCCCCTGCAACTGGTATAGGGATCCACCTCATGCCAGTTCTGGCTCTGGGATACTCAGCTCACTCCTTTTTTTCTCTCTGTCACTCTGTCTAGTTTACTTTTGTCTAAAATTCATAGAGTTTATGAATTAAGGCTGACAGATTTCCCCAGGTCTTGAGAGCAAAGTCCCAGTAACTTTCCGTGAGTATTATACAGGTCCCTGGGGTCAGTTGTGGCTCTGGGGGTGCTGGAGGGCAGTGCGCATGGTGGTAGTGGAAGGCTTGGTCCAGGTCCCGGCCAGAAGCGGGGTGGGGCTGGTAGTTGCCATAGCGACCTGAAGCATCTGCTCACCCTGGATCAGTCTCAGCAGGGCCCGGAGGCGGTCCAGTGACGACTGTGTGCCCCTTTGGCGGGCCAGGAGGCTTGTCTTCAGCTCCAGGCATTTCTGTCAAGAGAGAAAGTGTTGGAGATGTCCTCAGAATTGAGTTCTGCAGCATCCTGGGCCAGCCACATTGATGATCCTACCTTTTAGTCACAGAGCCTTCCACCCACCAGCAGAACCTGAAACAAGCCAAAGGCCTCAAACAAAATGGGACTAAATAAACGGCTGGAGTGGCATGCTGGCATCAGGAATGCCTGTCCCTGAAGCTGACAGACTCCATCCTGGCTGGTGGCAGCTAGTGAGACTCACAGACTCCTCAATATGCTCTCTAGCTTCTCTGTGTGTCACACAGATGACACTGCAGTGGGACTGAGACCTAGAGTCATGTGACCTAAAGTCACATGACCGGGTTCTAGGTCAAATGGTGCCAGTGCAATAGTGATTTCCTTGGGGCACTCCTCAAACTACATGGGTAACCAGGAATTCTTATAGGGTTTGGGATGGGTATTCTTGGTTGTCAACTTGACTATATCTGGAATTAACTATAACCCAACTGGCTGGGTGTACACCTGTGAGGGATTTTTTTCTTAATCAATCCAATTGAAGTAGGAAGACCCACTTCAAATCCTGATCTTTTTTGTTTTTTGTTTTGAGACAAGGTTTCTCTCAAATCATGATCTTTGAGGTGGGAAGATCCACCTTTAATCTGGGCCATACCTTTTGCTGACAGCCTATATAAATGACATGGATGAAGGAAGCTCACTCTCTTTGCTTGCTTACTTCCACTGACAAGTCCATTCTTTCACTGCCATTAGAGACTACTTTGGGATTCTGGTATATACTGAAGACCAGCTGAGACATCCAGCCTCATGGACTGAACAACTACTGGATTCTTTACCCTTCCTCGGGTAGACAGCCATTGTTGGGCTAGCTAGACCACAGCCTATAAACCATTTTTATAAATCCCCCTTATGTGTCTTCATAGACTCACTCCATCAATTCTGTTCTTCTAGAATCCTGACTAAAAAGGCTAAAGAAGGCACTGCATTTAGAGAGCTTCTCTAAGCCTGAGATCCCAGATCCTTGGGCAGAACAAATTGAAAGACAGAGAGTTCAAGGTCTGCCTGGGCAACTAAGTGAAACCAAATTGCTAAGGAAAACACCATGCACTGCAGGGGAACTAGGGAGAGGAGATGGCTCAGTGGGTGAGAGTGTCTGCTCTGCAACGTGAACCCTGGATCCCAGCACCATGTAAAAGCCGGGCATGACTATAAGTGGCTCTAGCCCCAATGCTGGGAATCAGAGACATGTTTGCTTCTCTTACTGGCTAATGAATAAAGCTGTTTCAGCCAATGGACAGGCAGGATTTTATAGCTAGGAAAGCCAAACAGAGATAGAGAAAGGTAGTAGGTACAGTCAAGGAGACGACATGTAGCTGCCGGGAGGGTAGGACGTCTGGTGTTTTTTTTTTTTTTTTTTTTTTTTAACACAGGTGGGGATGCTGGGAACTCAAAATCTCAACAGCCAGGACAAAATGGCAGGCATCAAGTTTAGTGATAAAGTGTCTATGTGGGGAATAAATGGAGAGCAACAGAGGAAAACATCTGACAGCCTTCTCACCTCAACATTACCAGTATGTGTGCCTGTGCATGCATTCACACCTCTATCGCCCCCCATACCTGGGATCTAAAGTGTTTGTGTAACACGCTCCTTCAGAGCCCCAGAACTGCTATTAGGACTGCCATCGCTACCACTGTCAGCACCACCCATCACCGTCACCATCATCATTACCACAATGGTCACCATTATCACCACCACCATCTCCACTCTCGTCATCTTCATCATTTGTCTATCATCAATCTACAGAGGACTATGTTCTCTTTACAGAGGAGGAAGCTGAGGTTCAGAAAGGCAGGGCCTTGCCAAGGTCACATAGCTGAGAGGAAGCAGGTTCAGAATGTCTCCAACAACTTGATAAATATTATGGTTCACATTAGAGCTGCACCCTGAACTTTTGGGCCTGTTGAACAATACTGGTCAGACTGCAATCACCCTGGGCTCAGTGAGTGGGTGACAAGGGACCCTCTCCCCCTGTGCTCACCTTCACAGCTGAGGCCAGCTGCCGGTCCCGCTCCTCCAGTTGCTGGTGCTCAGTCTGTAGTTCGCTGCCACGCTGTAGCAATTTCTGCTTCTCTTCTTCTTTCACTGGGAAAGAGAGGCCAGACCCATGGAGGGGCAATGAGTAGCTGGACCAGAAATGTTCTGCTAGGGACCAGCCCCAGTCACCTCTTTCTCAGAGCTCTGGCCCAGAAGAACCTGGACCAACCCAGCACCTCCAAGGTCCCATATTAACCCAGGGGTCCTTTTCCACTCCCAGGGACACCTTACCTGTCTTGTGGGTGACGTAGGAATGCACAATGGCCAGCATCCCGGTCCAGGGTACACCCTCGTCTTTCTTTAAGGCCTGTGGGACAGATGGGGTGGTGAGAAAGAATACAGATACTAGAACTTTCTAAGATCAGATCCTGGCTATGTACCCCCAGGGAGGCATGCTCTCCCAGCCACAGATTCCCATCTGTGACCAGGGGATAGTAGCTGTATCTGTCTGGTTCACCGGAGCTTCTCAATGATAAGTCTCCGTCTAGGTTTCTCTCCCTTGTAGAAGCCAGGGATGGGTGTTCAAGACCCCTTGTCACACTCTTGTGCACCCGCTACACCCATGCTAGGGGTCACCCAGAACACTGTCTCAAATGTGCAGGGGCAGGGTGTGAGCCCTTCTGCCCACACCTTCTGCTGGCACTTAGGGCAGACCCACACGCCCTTGGGCGCCGTCTTGAGGGGAGGGTCCAGGCAGCTGAGGTGGTAGGCCCCTGAACAGGTGCCACAGGGCTGTAGGCTAGCTCCTCGCTTGCAGGCAGCACAGAATTCATCATGAGTGATTTCGCTCTGCAAGAGAAGGGAGGGTAGGAAGCAGCTCAGCCAGGCCCAGGCAGCTTGAGGGAACTGGAGGGAGAGACTCCCTCTAGGGGTGATAGTGTCAAGACATGCTAGACTCTAGCTGGCATGTGCCCCATGGGTAGGATTCCAGGGCACTCATGTACACCCTGACTGGGGCATTGAACCCTGGAGAGTCACACAGCAGGCCCCAGCACCAAGTCTCCCATACAGTAGGGCCCAGGAGTGCTGTTCATCCTCATGTATACACTGCCTCAGGGAGGGGACTGTGGCCTGACACAAGGTACACCTTTAGTCCCCACAACTGCATACCCATCTAATGGAGACTGCTGACCCTTAGGTGAATCACACATCTGTTTCCACAGCCATGATGGAGATAAGAACAGCTGTCCCTTAGGCTCTGGACAGAACAGGACAGAGCACCCCTCACTCATGTCAGATGCCTGAAGTGTGGTACAGGACAGAACCCTTCTGTCCTTCCCAGAGTCCTCAGTACAAGCTCCAGGGACTGTGCTCCCCAACCCATCAGCAGGCTGTACCAAGGAGAGCTCCAATGATGACCTGTAACACCTGCACAGCCACCCACAAGAGCCCTTGTCCCTGGAAGACTATCAATGGTTTCCGACTCCAGCGCTGACGTGGTGGGATGGTCCTTATCACAAGGGACTTGACACCAGAGGTATCCCCAAAGGAGGCCTCTAAGTCTCCCATCTGTATCCCTCATCCCTTACAGACACTAGTGAAGCACTTGCCTTGGGGTCACACAGGGAGTGGGAATAGGAGTAGAGCCAGAACCACAATAGATACCTCCTGCCTCAAAGCCAAGGCCCCTCCAGGACTATGGACTCGTGGAAAAGGGGCACTCTTCCACCACCCGTGTCCCCTTTCTGTGTGGTCTGGGCACTGGTGGTTTCTGTCCCCCTGTCTGTGTGGTGTGGGCACTGGTAGTTTCAGCAAATTGCCAGGCCTGAGAGCACCTGTGTTTACTACTGCAGGGTGACCTCAGAAAGCACTGTGGCCACCCAGAGAAGGCTGTAAGCAGTTCCCTGCATGTGAGAGCATTGGGATGAGGTTCATTTGGAATTAGATTAGAAACCGGGAAAGGGCTATGGAGATAGTTCAGAGCACAAAGGCATCTGATACTGAGGCTGAGATCCATCCCTGACTCATGTGATGAAAGGAGAGAACTGAGTCCCGCCCCACAAATTGTCCTCTGACCTGTACACTTGTACACTGGTACACATCCCCCCTCCACACATACCACAAATCAAGTAAATGAAAAGGAATACATCAGTGAGAGGCTATGCACAAGATCCAGGTCCTGACCAGCTAATGCCTCAGGGAACAGGGATGTGGGCCTTGTGGGTGGGTGATGTCATAGGATCACAATGGGCACAAAGAGTGGCACCCTAGGAATTAGCCCATGGTGGGGGGCAACAAAGAACTGAAGATGGCCAGCTCTGCCCAGCATCACACCAAGAAACCAGGCGAGCCAGGGTAAAGGTCAGCTGCTACAGTGTGAACACCCTCAGGACTGGGCAGGGCGGGAGTTCTCCACAGGAATGTAGGGCTCAGCCTGGCATGACAGCATGAGGAGCAGGCTTGGTGTTGTGCAAGCTCTGGATACGAAGGGAAGGTTAAAGCAAAGACAGATGTCCCACACCCCTTTCTGTGAAGATGGAGGTCACGTACCTTCCAGCAGGGGTCCTCATTGGCTAGCACAGGGAGGAAGGGTGGAGAAGATGTTAGTAGGGGTTTGAGGAGCATAGGTCAAGGCTGGGGTTCCCCAGGCTAGGTGTGGCAGAGTCCTTGCCCTAGAGCATGATGGGAATATCACAAGACCCCGTGACACCCAAGTTCTTAGAACCACCATGTGATGAAAGAAGACTCTGCCTTTGTCCTGGTCAGGGTCTACCTGGGCACAGGCACATTGCACCCAAACTCATAAGGATCATGCTGGCACAGTGAGATGCCTCAAATACAAAACCAGAATTCAGAGGACCCCTCAGAGTAACCTGTTTCCAGCTCCTTCTGGCTGGGAATCCTTTGCATTTTATTCCTAGACAAACCATCTGTGATGACGCTGTTCCTGGGAGGAACTGTCCACCAACTCAGAGCAGGTATTACAGGCCCATTGTGTAGATCAATGGTCCAAGGGCTAAGAAGTGACTGATGCCAAGAGCTACACAGAATCCCAAGATGCAGGCAGTCATTTCCTGCCCTCTAAAACTATTGGTAGTTCTTTCTTTTCTTCTGAGACAAAGTCTTTTGGTAGGTCAGGTTGGCCTGAAACTGACAGCAATCCTCCTGCCTCAGCTTCCTGAGTACAACGATAACAGGGACAAGTAGCTCCCAGCCATGGAGGATGGTTGGCACAGGAGAAAGGGCTCAACTGAAAGTTGGGATGTATGTCCCTGACTGTCAGAACTGGGCCCAGCACCCAGTGTCCTAGATTATCTGTGGCTGTCCAACTGCCCGGAGCCAGCCCAGGAGGGAGGGCAGGGTTGGGATGAGCCCCAGCCCAGCTGGGAAATGAGTGCCTGCTCTCTCCAGAGCTATCCAGTAGTAGGTAGCATGGCTGAACAGACAGCACGGGGCCTTATACTCAGGCTACAGATGGTGGGGCAGGGAAATAGAGACATCCTTTACACATGCCCTCCTCTCTCAGCCCTTTGGTGGATAGCCTTACCATGGTGACATTCAGCTGGGTTCTCCGAGCTGGACACCCAGCACAGGTGTAATGGAAAGCATGTTCCCATTGCAGTGTTTGTATCTATGAGATGGAGCAGATCCCAGCAGAGGTTATATGAAGCCCCAGAGAACAGTGGTGAGGCCAAGCTTAGGGAGGGGCATGGGTCTCTGGAAGCTGTGGCTCTGGCTGGCACTCACCTCGTGCTGTAAGGAACAGGGGGTTGTGGAGATAGCTGGAGGCCAGCCGCTTCCTCTGTAGGGACAAAAAGCAGAACCAAAGAATCGCTTGTGTGCACTCGTATGCCACTACAACACCTGACACGGACCCTCCAGGACAGCCCAGACATCGGTCAGATACCCTATGCAGAAGATATGGGGGGGGAACAGATAGCAGGACCTAGGGGCAGAGGGGCAGTCTACAAAGGCTGGGTTCTACTGAGGTTCAGGAATCCTCATCCCAAGTTGTCTTGGGCAGCACAGTCCCCAAGCATGATAGGTTAGGGACAAAGCCAGTGCTTTCTTTCCACCGGCCCTCTGACCTCTCTCTGGTTCTACTGTCAGGAGGTGTATGGACTGTCCTTGCCCCAGCTTCACCTGGTATGTGACTCAAAACCTGGCAGCTGCAGAGGTTTCCCTATACCACAGTGGAATGGCAGAAGCTAGCCAAGCTGCATTCAAGGACAGGAAGGGACCAATAAAGGACTGCTCTTGGCTTGCATGCTTGTCTAAGGCTCAAGGGTCACAGGGTTTTTGGGGGTTCTTGTTTAATTTTTTATTAATTTATTTTTTACATAGTAATCCCAGTTCTCTGACTGATGGGCTAAGTAAGTCCTGTGGCTCTGGCTGCAGACATAGGGCTCATTGAGTAAGTTCTATGCCCAGAGCACAGGGGACAGTTTCTTACTAATCACAGGGCTGTGGCCCTGGTAGCTGAATATATGTTCTTGGTTGAAAGCTAAAGCCAACTTCCTTCCTTCCTTCCTTCCTTCCTTCCTTCCTTCCTTCCTTCCTTCCTTCCTTCTTTCCTTCCCTCCTTTTTAAATCAGAGTTTCATGTAGTCCAGGTTAGCCTTGAACTCTCTATGTAACCAAGGATGGCCTTGAACTCCTGATCCCGCCACCTCCCAAGTGCTAGGATTACCAGTATATGCCACCAAGCCTGATTAAAGGGGGGAATTGAACTCAGAACTTAGTGGATACCAGGCAAGCACTCCACCAACTGAGCTACACCCTTAGCCATCAATGTTTGTGTGAAAGGTCCCCATGTCTGGGGACAGGGCTTTCTCACTGGACCCAGGAGAAGAGAATGGGATGTGTTCGAGAGTGAGCGCCTTCTAAGACAGGAGTAGGGAGGGCAAAGCAGGGCAAGAGACAGATGGTGGACAGAGCCTGGGTATCCACTTTTCTCTCCTGGACGGGGCACTGCAGAACTGGAGCTGAACATGCTCCCTGCAAGGGCTCCCCTCCCCAGCTAAATTCAAGTTCACGAGACATGGATTTGGGACCCACAGGGGCTGAGAAAGCACAGGCCTGAGATATTATAGTTCATCGGAGAAACTCCACAGGAGCCTCCCAGATGAAGGGCAAGCCACAGTGGGCTCTGGGATGTGAAGCGTCGGTGAGTAGCCTGCCTTGGGCTTTGCGCATGAACCTTTTACAGTAGTCTCATGAGGGACACAGTGCTACCTGTTTGATACTCAGAGTGGCCTCTGCTAGGATTCCAACAGACAGCTTTTGTTTTATGACAGGGTCTTACTAGGTAACCCAGGTGGGCCCGGGGCTAAAAATCCTCCTGTCTCACCTTCCTGACTGTTGTGTTACAGGTTAGTACACTCAGTGAGAGTATACGCCTTGTTTCAGTTGAATGCTTCTGGTTAGGAAGGATGGGCAAGAAGTCAGTAAGAAAGCTAGCGGAGGTCCCATGGACTCTTCTGGATCCATCAGGAGGGGAAGGGGCTCATGAAGCTCTACACTATTTCTCCCAGCCCCAGTGGTGGTGCCCAAGAGTCCCACCTCGGTCTCCAAGAAGCCGCTATTGGCGGGGGTAGCCGTGCTCCCCCTCTTCCGCTCCTGACGCTTGCTCTGGATTTCTGGATATGAAAGGCAGACACAGCAGTCACAGGCTCGTTGCCCAGAGGGTCAGGGCAGGTCAGAGCCTTCAGGAGCTGCTTATAGCATGGCTCTGGTGGCTTTAGGATGAGTATCAGGTAGGAGGATGAGGGGACAGGGACACACTCCTCAGCATAAGTCCCTGTGGTGGTTTGAATAAGAATATACCACATTGACTCATATATTTGACTGCTTAGTCACTAGGGAGTGGAACTGTTTGAAAGGATTAGAAGATTAGGAGGTGTGGCCTCATTGGAGTAAGTGTGGCCTTGGTGGAGGAAGTATGTCACTGGGGGTGTGCTTGAGGTTTCAAAAGCTAACGCCAGTCCCAGGTGTTCTCTCTCTCTCTCTCTCTCCCTCCCTCTCTCTCTCTCTCTCTCTC